ATCCCTATTTCCATTTTCTTTGGCTAAAAAGAAGTCAGTTTTGTTAAGATATTAATTGTGAACGAAATCTTCAACAATTGAAGTGTTGTCTCACCCGACTATTGTTCCTACACCTTTCGATGACATCAATCAATTTCAAATCCTACAATGATGTTTTATCGAACGTGTAACTGTGCGCTGATGCAGCATGATTGTGTAATGCTCATGCCTTGACGTTGGAACTACATGAAGTGAACCATCCTATCTACAACCTAGAGTCTACGATTATCATTCTTACTTGAAAACTTGATGAAAACTCTCCGTGGAGAAATGTGTTAGATCTTTATCAACCTCGCAAACTTCTCATTTATTTTCACTCGAAAAGAACAAAATCTCAAACAACAGCAATGGTAGGATATATCAATGACTACAATTGAACGATCGTGTACCACCCTGATTATGGAATTGTAGTTACTGACGACCGCAGTAGAAAAACACATAGGTACCGAATGCTCTTCAATCAGTTCTTTTTTCAACTTTTGCGGAACTCTTGAATACTTTAGTGACGCTGCTTTTTGATTATCAAGAAACCTTTTTAGCTAATTTTCAAGTTCTACCTTTGGCCTAAGATGACAAGGAATTGTTTAGTCATTCAGCATAATTCTTCATTATCGAATTTGTGGAACTCTTTGACGTTTTGGTCTGCACCGGCTTTGTTCGTAATCCCAGATTCACCCCCTGGTACTAAAACATATTTTAGTCAATATTGGGTTACTCGTCTGTTATTCGTATCATTGTAAAGTAGATAGATCGACCTGGAGGACCACCAGACGTTGAAGTTTTTAGTTGAGATCATCAGTCCTTGAATTGCCCAATTAGCATCCTAACGAACAAATCTTCACCATTGGTGATTTAATATTCCTGAAGCTATCATTGTAATGAATCTTCACCATTGGGAAATTCTAACTTTCAGTCCGTCAGCTTTCATTTGACTATCATTCGACCATTTCCATTGCTAGCACGTAATCAAGTTAAGAAGTTACACGCATTCAAGCAGCAGAGTTGTATATTCAAATCCAGATATCTTGTACTCTAGAGTTAATGGACTTGTCTTGACCCTTGAACTTTCGAGTGTTCTAATAGCTTTCTCGACATGGTTTCTTGCAAAATCTGTGAAGCTTGCCTCTCTAACTATCTTTGAAACCACCGAAGCCAACCACCACCTCCTTTTACAATCAAATACAAATTCGAAATCACCATATTTGGAATCAACACAGCCTAAAGAATCTTTTGTTGGCCTTGCATGTGAGAATCAAGCCAAGGAAGAAGGAGAACTTAAGCTATTTCTCTCGGTACAGTTATTCCGGCGAACTCCAACTGAAAACACTTTGAGTTTAAGTTAGATTAGAACTAAGATTAATCCAAAAGGAACCCAGGTATCGTTCTCTTGCTCTGCATGTGAATTTTGAGCTGAAATACAAGGTTTCTAACCTCTGTGTATTATGTGGTCTTCATTTCCAAAATCCGGCAAATGGTCTCTGAGAAAAATCACTAGAATCCAAGGTGGATTCGACACTCTTTTCTCATAAATCTACGATGAGTAAGTCCCCAAACCTTGCAGTGATGTTTTCTTTGAGTTTTGACTTGTAACTCATGAATTTTGGAATGAGATCACCCCCTGCAAACTCTTAGTGCAATTCTGCAGTTTTTTAGGAGACTTCGGCACCCGCGAGTCTAATCGGGTCAACTCGACCTGCAACCCAAACTGAGCCCAACCTATTATTTAGCCCAAATCTATTAACCTATTAGCCAAACCCAAACCCATTAACTCAACCCGAATCCAACCCAAGCCCAACCCAATAACCGATCCAATCTAACCACCCAAGCCCATATCCGACCCAACCCGAGTCTGAAGCCCATTTGCTATGGTCGGTGTGCGGAGCACACGCGTCTCTGCCTGAGGTACTGTGCTTCGTCGTCATCCACGGCAGTGCGAACGACTTTTCCGGCCAACTTTCTGGCAACCCATCTCAGCGCATAGTAACGTGTGAGGTGGTGAGTGGCCTTCAAGGCCGCCACCCCATGGCGGCGTGTGGGGGAACCCGAGGTCCCTCCTTAGGTTTTTCAACATACCAAATCCGAATCAGCTGTCCGTTTTCCCAAATTCTATCGTTCTAGTAGAGTTTTATTAATTTGTCTATAATTGTGGTTAGGTGCATTGGTGGGAAGTTACCCTGTCTTCCCTCATTCGAGCGGCAACCCAGTAGCATAATAATTGTGAGTGGACCCCTTCTCCAATTGAATATTTCATAACTATCAGTCTAGCATGCATTTCATATTTCAGGATTTGAACATGTTTTATATTATGCCTTATGGATTTCTATATTTATGGTTACGGAGATTTGGGGATTTATTTAAATAGCTTTTACAAAATATTTACGATTATTGAATTTACATTTTTCTAAAGGATATGAATTATTGGTTTTATACGTATGAAATTCGGTGGATTTACGAATATGAATTAGCATGGATTTATTTGATGAGGTTTTGAGCTTTCGAGCTCTGATGTTTTGGCATGAGTTTTTGAGATATATTTTCGGTAAATATCTGGTGGATTATCATATAGCACATCCACACAACACGGGTATGTAGACGTTTATGGCCATGGGACACAGTTGAGGATACTTATGTTATAACCCCCAGCTTCACTGGCGAAACCAGTGTCGGACAGCTTCACTAGCCACGGCTAGTGTTGGTGTGTGATGTTATATGTATATGTGTCACCCAAAGTCATACAACTTCACCTTCGGGTGACGACAACACCATTATTGAGCTTTGTTTTACGCGTACTTGTTTTACAAATGATTTCATGGCATGCTAGAGTTTTCAAAAAACTTATTATATGTAGTATTATATATGTTTTCAAAACAAGGGGTTAGTATGTTCAGAAGAAATCGGTTTTCGTATTATTAGTATTAATATAAACTATGGTCCACTCACCTTTTGCTTTTGCACCCCCTCAGGAGTTGTAAGTGAGGCATTCGATCCCGGCGTCAGGGCATTTCCGCATAGGTATCCTCGAGTCCTCTCAATGTAGGTCTCATTTCTTTGTTTCGGATCTTTGGTGTTTTTCTTGGTTGGTTGTATGCTCTGAACACGATATGGCATTGGTGTTTTATATTCTATTGACATTTTTTTTTTATTCGTATGCATGTTTAAAATGGCTTTGTCACCCTCAGGTGTCGGCCAGTACATGCCTAACCTGATATTGGGGGATATCGGGGTTAGGGCGAGTCACAACCCACGAACACCAGAACCCCATCCTTAGTGTAAATTGACCAATTTGCCCCAAAATTCTATCTGTTGGATCTTGATTAAAGCAGGGAAAAGGGTAATTTTGTCTACCAACTGGGCAACCCACTTCGAGCCCAAACCCCACCCACCCAAATCAGGCAACAATGGCGCAACCCTAAACCCAAACCTATGGACACAATTACCCTCTTAACTTTTAATAATTACCCTCCAACCTAGACACAAATTTGGTGGCTGTGATGTAAATAAGGCAAAATCAAGGGTCAATCATTTGACTGTAGCTAAGCTATAGTTAAATGCCTCCTCAATTTTAGAATAGATAATTTCCCAAGCCTTTTGAGTTGTCCAAAGAGGTTGTAAATGGTTTATATAAATCATGTTTGTTAATCATTGTAATCATCTTTCAATCTTTCAATCAAGTAATCAAATATTATTTGGGATTTCCCTCAAAAACTGGTGGATTCCAGATTATCGTTTCTTGAAGGATATTGCGTCAAAAAGTTAGCAAAATTATTTTACAAAATTTGGTTACAAGGATAAGTCTGTTGCAATGAAACATTTCACAAACTACTCAATTTGTTGTAGGATTTTCTTTAATGAGTATAAATTGGAATTAAGTATACTTTACAGTTGATAGAGATCGAGATTGTTCCATAGTTGCTACGTTTATTTTCTTTCATTGCCAGCTTCAATATAATGTTATCTTTGGTTAAAACCTCGAAGTTGATATATGACAGGTTGGGAGAAACACAGTTTTGTGGTCGGTAAAAGTGGTACAAACAACATCATTAACTCTTTTCTTGGATATAAACAGTCTTGTCCCACTCTTGAGCGCAACCGCGCTCTTTTGACGTCCAGTTTTTGACCCCTCGTTGAATCAAGGTTGGCAAATCTTTAGGTATACAAAAGTCGACTACTTACTTGTTGGACGGACAAAGAATAACTAATTTGGCACTTTTCCAATAGAAAACTAAATGATATTTGCGGCATCCAATGCCCAGTTACCTTTGATAACCTTTCTTTTTATTTTCTTAATCCAGTTTAAAGCCTGTATTAAATTATGATTAACAAAACTAAAGGGAGTGTGGGTTGTTCGCAACTTACGAGGGTTGATCGAGAACAAAAGGATGACTTGAAGGAGAAGAAATTAGGTTAAATAGGACGGCGACGGAGCAGTAATCCGACAAACTTTCAGTAAATATCAAGCTTTCTTGTTTTTCCTCGAGACTAATTACCTTTTACTTTTGCACACCGAAATTAAGAACACTTTGGTTAAAAAATGGCAAAGAATTAAAGACGAAACAAGTATCTTAATTCTTAAACATATTTTACTATATATGTTCTTTTTACTCCTTTTTAAAACTATGAATAGTAGAGTAATGACAATAATCACTGACATTAGTTGAACGTGATGGCATGATTAAATGGATAGTGTCATGTTTTATTTTGGTGTAATGAAGCACTTTACACTACAAATACAAATCCAAACCCCTCATTTTTAAGCATATTCCATCTAGATGAAGTCTCCATATACTAACAAAACTATTTGCGCCACAGTTACTAATTATGCCGTGTGTGACATTCATATTCATGTTAGTAAATATGGTTCAATTGGCAACACTACAAACTATATATGATTGCTGTGTCACGGGATCTGCAAGTAAATATGGTTCAAACTGCTCAGCAAGTGTCCAGCATTAAGTCAAAACATGCACCGATATTGTCCCTAACTTAACCATTTACACCCCAATACCCAAAGTCCCAATAGACCTTAATTGAGAGGTTTTCAGAATACAATAAGACGTAAACCACCTACATTTGAACTTTATCATATTACTGTTGTACTTCTTTGATGTGCCACTCGCTTCAGATCCTTCTTGTATTACTTACACCAACAATGGTATCAGATATTGCATCTCATGGCAGTATAAATAAGCTGCAAAACTAGAGAAAAAAGCCATCAATTAAGCCATGGCCTTAGAGGAGGAAGTAGATAGCTTGTTCGAAAGCGCCATGAAGGGGCAGTGGGGAAAGGTGGTGGAAGCCTACAGAAACAGTTCCAAGGCTCAAGAGGCCAAGATAACCAAATCTAACGAGACTGCTCTCCACATTGCAATTGCAGATGGCCAAACAGAAATCGCAATCAAGTTGCTCAACATCATTTCCCTCGGAGGAAATGCATCCAAAATATTCAACTTAGGAAACGAGAAAGGCAACACAGCACTCCATCTGGCTGCCAGGCTTGGTTACGTGGAACTTTGCGAAATCATGGCTACGAAGGATCAAAACCTTGTCTCCGTTCGCAACCTGGACGGTGAGACCCCTCTCTTCTTGGCAGCTCATAATGGCAACATAAAGTCTTTCCTTCGCCTTCATTCTCACTGCCAAGAAAAGTTCCATTCCTTTAGAGACAACAATGGTGACACCATTCTCCATGCTGCTATCTCTGGTGAATACTTCTGTAAGTACACTCCCTTTTAGCCATCTGCGCTCCAGACTGACCGCAACTAACTATCCTAAAAATAAAAATGCCATTCATTCTGTACTTTTTTTTTGATAGGTTTGGCGTTTCAGATAATTCGATTGCACCCGGAACTTGCTAACTCTATGAATGAAAACGGTTTATCTCCGCTGCATATTCTGGCCGGAAAGCCTAATGCATTCAAAAGCAGTACTCGCCTTGGACTAGCTGATGAGATTATATACCGCTGTAAGATATTCTAACAAAAGATGTAAATTGTCTTTTTGTTCATCGTTGCATGATCTTAGATTTAAACCGAACTTTTCGATTCCATTTGTCAGGTTTGATCGTTGATGATCTCAAAATTGAAGCATATAATCATGAAGCTTGTCTGCACAAGGCAGGAGATCAAAACAGTTCCAAGCATCCGGCAAACTACGAAACGTGCATGAACTTCTTCCGGCTTTTGAGAAGTCTGTTCAAAGTGTTAAGTGGGTGAATCTTGTCAAATATTTATGTTACATTAATTCTCTTCACCGAACGTTTGCACTACAGGTCTAATTCAGTTTCTCAAATTGTAGCGAAATCACGGGGAAATAAGAATTGTACCCAAGCTTTGCGCTTATACTGGAATAAACTGCGCGGGTCACTCCCTCAAGCTAATGGAGGAAACAGAAACAGAAATGGTGTCAATGCAGCTGAAGATGAAGAGAATCCTCGACCAGTGATCAGCTCAGTAATAGGTAAGCATCCTACTTGAGGGCACGTTTTGGGATTGCTTATGCAGGAATTACCTTTTCATTTTTATTTTTATTTTTTATTTTTTTTGGAAAAGCTTATGTAGGAATTACTTTTGCTCACTAGAAACACGTTCAAATTTTATTAAGGTGCTTTCTGAAGAAGCATCTGTCTTGAAACTACTTCTACGATCCAAAACGCTTTTAACGTTTTCTGCCAAACACAATCCATCCTTGTGAATCTTCCGTCAGCGACTCTGCCAATATACAAATAAGCTAATTACTTGCATCTGATTAGTTATCCCAATAATTGCAGAGGCAAGTTCAGGAGCATCATCTTTTGATATCAAGTTAGAATCCAAGGAAATATTGCATACAACGAGTTCAAGATCAACTGATGGTAAACTTGTTTACCTAGATGAGGTCTATTTATTATATACAGTGTAAATTTGTTATGATAATTGTAAGTTCATAATATTGTCTAAGTAATATAATAATGAGTAGAGTGTTCTTCCCACAAAAGTCTGACTAATTTAAATTTACTATCATGATAATTACAAATTAAAAATAAATAAGACAAAAATTATGATGACAAATTAGATATGCAAAGAAACTAAATGCAAATAAAGATGAATGAAAATAAAGCATGGTATATAAATTATTAAGACGCCGACTTAACCTAATTAACCAATCCCACTCGAAATCTATTGCATATTAACTTAGACATGTTGACAGTTGATTTTTTCTAATTTCTTTGATAATACCTTTACAGGCTCCTCCAAAAGTATTCTTGACTAACAACCAATTCTTTTTCCAACCAACGAATAGAGAAAGACCAAGAACCAATTAAGTACTATTGAAAATCCTCAAGAAAAACTGCATGAATTATGTTAGTCCATTCTTTGCACTCATTCAAGACATGACATTCATTACAAGAAGCTATATATTAGATATCTCATTCAGATCTCAACTTAATTCTTCTAATCAAACAATTATTGAATAATTAATTGCAAGCATTAAAAACAGTAACAAATACTGAACAAATAAGAAATTAATATAATTATAAACTTGGAGTATTCATGGCTAGGCTACATCTTAAGCCCTAGCAAAATGAATTTAATTAATTCATGAAAATTTAAATAAAAACATGATAGAATTTGAAAACAAAGAAAAAATACACCTAAATGTCAACTACGAACTCCAATTTATAGAATGAGTAATACTTTTCTGAGTTATTCAACTCTCCCAAAGAAGTAATCATTTCGTGTCTTTCATTAAAAAGATTATGGAAATAAGGTCTCCAGATGTCTTTAACCACGTTCTCTGCAACTAAAACATTTTCATTCTCATCATTGATGCACCTTACCTAGTTCAAGTCTCTTGTCTTCCTTTCCCTTGCTCTAGAAAGTTATAGACATCCAACTTGCCTTCTTCGCTATTTTATACCTCTCATAGTTTCATTGGTTCTATCTTGTATAAGGCTTTACATTCCTACTTAGCCTTAACCTTTTCCTATACCTCCTCCCTTCGACCACCAAAATTTCTTTTGATGTGGGGCAAAACTCTTAAACTCTCCTAATATCCCTTTTGCAACTTTTCATTTACAATTAACCATAGAATCTCATATATGATTAGCATTCCGTCTGTATCCGACATTTACCACAAAAAGTTATTTAGAATGAAACAGAACAGTTATATAAGCAAACATATATTTGTGTTTGAACTAATGTACCCTCGAATTTAGATCTACTTTTGTAGAGAGTTTCATGAATTGTACAGCACTCCGGAGTTGATCACATCCTTTCTGTTGCAGATGCAAACGAGGGAGTGAAGGCATTTCCACCGAATTATGCCACGTTTGTTTTGTTTTGGAAGCTTGTGATGAAGGCCTTGCTCATCATTCTGGGAATTGGTCAGTATCAAACTTACGCTTCCTTTAATTACATATTTGTTTCGTCGATCATAACGTTTGTTTCTTGAATGGAGAATCCAGGAATTTGGAAGATAAAGAAAATCCAAGAGAAGAAAGAGCGACATATATGGGCTAATCAGGTCATGAATGAACTCGTCCAGTGCACTTCTTTATACAAGTATCAAAATACCGGCCAAAATCCCAACGAAACTCACCCAAGCAAGCATACAGAAGAGTCTGAAGTTCCTAATCCCACCTTGCTAGAGCAAACCCCCTCCTCGTCCTCATCACCCGATCATGTACATGATCACGAGCCTGAGCTCAACAACGATAATGATAGAAAGCACAAAAAGCTCTCGAGAGACAAGAAGAAAGTAACTCATGATGAAGCAGATAAAAAGCAGACACCTATATTAATTGCAGCAAAGATGGGAGTGACCGAAATAGTAGAAAAAATCCTCGACAAATTTCCAGTGGCTGTCCAGGACGTCGATTCCGATCAAAAGAATGTTGTGCTCTTAGCTGTTGAGAACAGGCAACCCCATGTTTACAATCTCCTGCAGAAGAGAAAGCTACTAAAAGAAAGCTTGTTGCGTCAGTTGGACAACCAAGGTAACAGCGCATTACATCTGGCCGCTACATGTGGACGGTACCGACCTTGGCTTATTCCGGGCGCTGCATTGCAAATGCAATGGGAAATCAAGTGGTACAAGGTCGGTTACTATTATTGATCTCCCGTATATACTACAGTATTTTACAACTCTTCACTTTGGTAGTATTGCAATATAGAAGTATATGTTGTCAAACTGTAAATGTAGACTGCACATTCAGGTGAGAATCATGTTAATCACTAGTCTGTTAAAAGAGTACATGGAAACAGAACATTTTCGTTCAATTATATTATATAGTATTTCCCTACACACTTCGTGTGTATGAACACTTTTTTTTTAGAAAATGAGAAGGAGAGAGGGAGAGAGAAAGAACGTGGGGGAGTGGGAGGTTTTTTTTTTTTTTTAGTTTTTTTTTTATTTATTTTAAATATTAGAGGTATTTTAATAGATGAGGCTTCAATAAAAAAACAATAAAATTTGGACCTGTGAAATTACATTATTGCCCATTAATTTTTTTATGTGATAGAAGACTAAGTAGTCTTTTCATCCTCTTTTGATTGACAAAGAGGGTTTCATTAATTAATAGAGATTACCGGCATTTGGTTAATCTTTTATGCTAAACTTGAAGCTCAAGGTTTTGAAGTATCTGAACTACATCTTTTGAGAGTACTGTTATGTTAACTGATTGCACAGTTTGTCAAAAGCTCAATGCCTCATCATTTCTTTGTTCGCTACAACAAAAAAGGCCAGACCCCGAAGGAGATCTTCATACATACACACCGAGATCTTATGAAAGAAGGCAGCAAATGGCTTATCAAAACCTCGGAGTCATGCTCTGTTGTCGCAGCGCTCATTGCAACGGTTGCCTTTGCAACATCGGCGACTGTACCAGGTGGACTTGATCAGACTACGGGAGAACCAATTCTTAAGGACAAGCCAGCCTTCGGTGCCTTCACCATCTCATCACTAGTTGCTCTCTGCTTCTCAGTAACATCCCTGGTCTTCTTTCTTTCAATTCTCACTTCTAGATACGAAGAAAGTGATTTTTCACTGGACTTGCCTCGGAAACTTTTGATGGGTCTAACATCACTCTTCGCATCTATAGCTTCCATTATAGTCTCATTCTGCGCAGGGCATATCTTTGTCCTCAAACATCAACTGAAATTTGTGGCATATCCATTATATGCAGCAACTTGCTTGCCAGTCACCTTGTTCGCAATTGCACAGCTGCCCCTCTACTTTGATCTCATGAGGGCCATTATCAAGAAGGTACCACAGCGGAGCTACGAGGTCTTTACACACTAGGTCTTCATCAGTTACGGTACCAAGGTCGGTGTTATGCAGTGATGATCTTGAGTGCTTAAGTATGTTTGGTTTCAGGGTGAGGTTTAATTATGTGGAATTATTACTTGTATGTGAACCATTCAAGGAGATTGTGTTCCAAATTTAGATTTGAAACGTTCTTTCGAGGACCAAATTTAATAGATTTTAATTCATGGATTAAAGTTACAATTCAATTAAAGTTCAGGGACTATTTCTCCTCATTTACTTGTCTTTTTATTCAATTGAAGTTCATGGATCAAAGTTGCAATCCGAATTCTAACTTTTCAACCGATCTTGGGTCCAGACGTGACTCCCCCCTCACCTAAATTAATGTAACAACTTTGAATCCTTATCCCTCCTAATAAAATAATAAATTAAAAAAAAACTCAACGTGTGTGTGGTGAGTTTGGTTTACGTACAGAATTGTTTAACAAATTAGTTTAGGATTTAATATGGTACTTGTGGAATGTTCTTGGATGTAAATATTAATATTTAGTGTCAATAGTGGCATCTTTATATAACACATGCGATATTTTCTACAATGAGTTGAAGGAGTGGGTTAACTTCATAATGACACATTGCAATTCTTCAATGTATATAATAGTTGAGAAGATTTCCAAAAGAAAATGCATCCCATGTAACGTTATGCATCAATCTCATTGATCTAACTATCTTAAATCATTTGTCTCTTAGGTTAATTACATTCATTGAATTCGATTATTGATTTTATACATAATACGTAAGAATAGTGAATGACAATAAACATTGTCCTTCCATTAAACTAAATAAGAGTTTAACAACATAAGTATTTCTAAAGCTGTTAAATCAAATGAGTGTTTTGTTGCTGCCTTCACTAATACAGCATTGATTCAATAACTTCATAATCACAACAAATTACAGCCTAATATTGCCGTCCCTCCTTCCTATCTAGCCGCTGCCGCAGCCACCACCTCCTCTTCTCTCTCTCTCTCTCTCTCTCTCTCTCTCTCTCTCTCTCTCTCTCTCTCTCTCTCTCTCTCTCTCTCTCTCTCTCTCTCTCTCTAAAGGGCAAGAAAAGAAACAAAATGACCAAAATAACCTTGCCATGTAACACCAGTTGAACAAGGCAACCTGGTTCCTAGGGCAAATGAATGAACCAATTTGATTGAGGATTGACTCCAGAATATTTCTCTCAAAACTATTGCGTGCTACCTCTACAAGGCTAACAAACGCAATCCGACTTCCAAATCTTGTGCAACTCTTTAAGGACTCATTTGAAAGTACTTTTAAAATGATTAAAGGCGCTTTTTGTGAAAATATTTTTGAAATCAATCTTTAGTAAAAATCCAAGTGGATCCTTAAAAAACACTTGTAAGTGCAAGTAGCACGTGTCTGGTACTTCTTTCAAAAAACACTTTATAAGTTTTTCATAACCCTCACCAAAAGCGTTTTCAATCATTTTAAAAGAACTTCCAAACAAGTCTTAACTCTAATGCGCTTCGAAGGACAGGCCCAATGGAAACAAGTAAGTTCTGCTGTAATTACACACTTGATTTGTTCAATCTTGAAGCTCAAAAGTGTACGCAAGAATGAGGGTATCTAGAATTTCCCCACTATTTGAATGCCTTTGGGCAGAATTATTCATTAACATTGCCTTCTAATACATACATACGTAAGCACATGTCCAGCTGTAGTAGTATGCAGTTTAGAATGCCATAACAAAGTTATGGTCCATGGAGTATACTCAAACTTGTTTCTCTTATTTACAACCCTTGCCATTATGCGGCGTCTATACAAGCATAATAACTGGCAAATTCAGCATGATAACAAGCACGCCGAACATATGAATCACAATGCACGCGTTCTACCTCAGAAATACAAAGCTTGACCACTCCATTCTTCACCCCCAGCTTCTTGTTAATGGTTCAGAACTGAGACAAACCAACATCTGATGATGACCTGCATCTTGCCTCAACTGCCAACGTCTTAACAATGCCTCGGCATGGGTCACCTCCAAAACTGATATTTGATATTTCAACTGAACAGCTATTCTTTCCCAGGCAACTCTGCAGAAGAGGGGAATATTATCAAAATAGGACTAGCACACTCAAAAACAGGCATGAAACAACCACCGGAAAAAATCACATAATTTTCTAGCAGAATACTAGGAATTATCGAAAACCAAATTCACCTTGGAGACAATGGACAATGAATTGGTTGCATGGCAATTTCCCATAGAAAACTTCTGGCAGCTACCTTGAGGTGTTCCATAGCTGGCAAATTCTATGGAAGATATCGTAAACCCATCTTGACATTGCAAGTGCATTTCTGGTGTCAGATCGTTTACTGTAATTTTTTCATCCACAGAGTCTGGATTGAACCACTTCTGAACAGGTGGGTAGTGAGACTCTGACACTTGAGCACAGAGGACTCCGGCTGATCGCAACTTGATTGAAATATCAAATGGATTCCCGCCAGTTTCCTCCAAAATAACAAGTAAATTACTTGAAGACTGTAACCATGACCTCGGTACATGGTACCTGGAGAATAACCAATACTGGCTTTATTAAACAACTAAACTCATTTCCTATTTAATTTCAAGTGTAAATTACAAAGATCACCAAAAGTACAAAAATACATCTGAATGCATGACTTGCAAGTTTGCAATCAGATTTTAAAAGGAATACTTTCTTTAGCCGGGAAAAACAACAGATGCAGCTAGTTCACTTCACTTATCTCATGATACTGGGATAGAAACTTACAAGGTTTGAGTAGGCTTCCCACAATTAAATGAGCACTTATCGGAGTTGTACGCCCCACGGTAATCACAGATTTCTGGACATCCATCTTCTGGAGCAACAAGTGTCCAATATCTTCCTATATGGTGGCCGTTGACCCAAGCCTGGCCCTTACCCATGCTTCCTAAATCAAGAGCAACTGGATCTGTGCCAGCAGGGCTATCAAAGTATGTCTGCTCAATAGAAACGACAAATATCTGTAAATAAATTATACTTTAAGAAATAAAAGAGTGATATGTTATGCACTACTACCAATGTTTTAAAAGGTGAAGGTGTAGGTGAGGCATTTCATGGATAGCACTGCCTAGGTAAAAGCCTTGAGGCGATCTAAAATTTTTTAATAATATATTTTGTTATATATATATCAATGTATTAAAAGTGTGAGGCGTGGGCGACATCCTAGGGATAGCCCAGCCAAGGCATGAGGCAAAGCCTCACAAGACCTAAATTTTTTAATATATACACTGAGCATACACATATATTATAAATATATATACACACATATATATACATATATTATATTATATATATAAATATATATACACACTCATATACACACATACATATATTATAAATATATATACATATATATATATATATGTATACACACACACACACACATATATACACACATTTATATGCATATATACATACATACATATATATATATAATACTTTGTAAAACAAATTAACCAACAATCAAACAAGCAATCAAATTACTAGTGACCAAATTAAAATTGGAATACTAAAAACCTTACTTGAATTTTGAAACAAATTGTGGTGAGGTATGAGATTGGGATAAAATTGAAATATGGGATTGGGGAGAATTTAGGGTTTGAGGAATTGGGAAATTGGGGAATTGGGAATTTGGGAATTGGGGATTGGGGATTGGGGATTGGGGATTGGCTGAATGTGAATGGGAGAATCGGGGGAGCTGCTGAGGTTTATAGAAAAACAAAAAAAATTAGACTTGGCCAAAACGACCTCGCTTTGGGCCAAGTCATTTAAAAAAAATTAAAAGAGTTGGCCAAAATGATGCCGTTTTGGGCCAAAGTCTTTAAAAAAAAACCCCTATATTTCTTATTCTTCGCGGTCGTCTTCTTTGTGAGCCAAGTCTTAGAAAAAAAAAAAAAAAAAAAAAAAAAAAAAAAGGCTCCTATATTTCTTCTTCGCAGTCGTCTTCTTCATGAAGATGCTGCCGCATCATACACAGACAGCCCAGTGTTCGACTTAGAGCGTTCGACTTCAAGCAAGGATTCGGAGCGATGAAGGGTCTTGGGAATGCCCAATCAGCTGCCTCAGGCATGCCTCGGCCACCTAAGCGTGCCACAACCATGTCTAGGCCAGTTTAAGCCTTCTACCATTGGGCAGAGGCGTTTCCACCACTGCACCACCTCCAAAGCCGCCTCGGGTTTTTTAAAACACTAACTACAACTTGAACCTTTTATTTCCACTCGAAAAGTAGCTACACCACTTGGTGCTCATGTGAAATAAAGCCACATGTTTTTCCTACCTTTCCTAGGGTCCGTTTGAACAAGGAATGGAAATTTACATTCCTATCTTTAAACCCAAGGAATTAAGTCCTCTACCTAAAATATGAAATTTGGTTTAGGTCAATAAATAATATTATATTTCGCCATAGGTCATTTCATTTTATAGCATAGGTCAACAAAAATAATTCTCCCCTTCAACTATGGTCAATAAACTTAATACCACTTGATAAAATTTCCCTCTATTGACCTCTCCTGAAAAGCACAAAAAAGTTGATTTACCCCATCCTAATATAATGATTATTTCGTGACCTAGAACAAATTAACCCTATAGACTATAGAGATTGGGATTGGAAAATTCCATCCCATCCAAATATTCCTCTTTCACCTCCTTAAGAGGTGGCAAGTCTGTAAATTCTTCATACATGCACTCATACGTTTTTCACATTACTCTAGTGAATCATATATTGATTGGTATCTACGAATGAGGTAGTAGAATTGTTATCATTTTCTTTAACAAGAATAAAAGGACTTGTTGTGACACATGAATACACATTGAGTTATACTATAGCCCAAATAAGATTATAAAATGGAGACTCATAGATACGACAAGATCGGTGGAAAGCATGGGTAATTTGCAATCGTTACATAAGCAAGAAAATTTACAGCAAAATAGATGGTAATATATGCCTCACACATGCGAATGAGATTATTTACCTTGTACCATATAAATGTGGATGGATCATCATCTGGCGATAACTCAGCCCAACTTGCCTTTTCATTTTCTTCTATGGTGTATATTTTCAAAAACTCGCCCTTAAGCCCAACCTATAATCAAAACAAATCAACATCCACCTGATGACTTTAACACTTTTGATTGGCAACAGACTAGGAGAAAATTTATAATTTACAAATGGTGTTAGCCATGCTATTTTAAACAAGAGAAGATAAATGTGTATGCGAATAAGCATCAAACCGTTTCCAATTTTGTAAACAGACTTGTCTAGGGTACATGCATTTACTTGATACATTCACATTTGGTTCTCTTGCCCCTCTCAAAACCTTTTTTGCCCAACCATTGGATGTATTTGACGGTCAAGGGGGTGAATGTATTAAGTAAATGTGTGTACCGTAGCCAATCCCGAATTTCAAATAGCTATTTGACATTGAATTTATTCCATACAAATGTAATTGTTGCCATTGCAATTACAAAACCAGAAGCTGAACTTTCCCTCAACTTTATTAAACTTAAGAACGCAACTTCAATATACTAATATACGAAGTATTGAAGGATTAGATCATGGACACTCTGTCCATTCAGATTCATATTCTGCCTGATAAATGTTTACAATACATTTAAAGAATAAAAAGGAAGTGCTGATACTGAAATGCCTGAATATATAGAAATTTGCTACCTACACAGGTATTTATTTTTGGGCAAAAGCTTGGATAAATGTTATAATTTTGCAGCATACGAACAGTAGAAAATTAACCAAATACTTCAACATACAAGAATAACTTGGACAATGGATTTACTATTACACTCAAAATGGAGAGGGTGGAAGCTTCAAAATTATAAACCTATACCTGGTAAGTCCATAGCAACTTTGAAAAGTCAATATCACCATTTTTAAAGCCAGTCAGTTTAATCTGTCCTCTAAATCCTGCCCCATCTTTCTCCAGGAAAGCACCATAGTTCTGTATAATATTTTCAAATCACAGAACATTGAATGGAATCAGTAACACCATCCCCCTAGGAGTATATAAGCCTGATGGTAGAAAGTGTGATCAAAATTGTCTGAATGGAAGACACCGCTATCAACGATAAGCAAGCAAAAATATTTAAGATAAAACTTGCAGAGTTTTATACACTACTTCTAAACCCAAAAAACAAAAACAAAGAAAACAGAATAATACACTTCAATGGAATGTGTTACCAAAATAAAGAATTCAGAAGGAAACAAACGCAGTAACAAAACCATAAAAAAATGAAGCCTAAACCAAGGCCAAGAATATGGGCTTATCCATCTAACAACTCTCTTCCCCAGCTTTTTTCTCAAAAACTAAGCTATTTTTACCGTCCAAACAGCCTAAAAAGTTGCTGACTTACTGCACCTCTGCAAAACATTTTGCTTCCCTTACAGAGTGGCAAGAAGAACCCAACTCAATATAGTTAAATGAAAAAAATTATACCACATTGTCAAACTACAGGACAATAAAGAATATGAAAGCCCTCTGAAGCCCCTTTATACGGAGTGCACGAATGAAGAAATACACAATAAAAAAAAGGCCACCTCCATCGAATGACCTGAGAGGGGGAAAAGATCGACTACAAAAACAGAGAGAAAAAAGGGAGGGGAGAGGGGAAATGTAAGAACTGTTTTGAAATCAATGCAAAGCCCGCATGCAGAGAAAGGGCTTTGGACGTAAAGCTTAACATTTTACCTGCAAGCCCACTGTCTGAGTTAACAAAACCAAATCATTGTATCCCTTCAGAAACTTAACAGGCTGCTCCACCTTGACCCAGTGACCGATGACACTGCCTTCAATAAAAAATGGGGGCATTAACACGTAGATTAGAGAACACAAAAGAATATGTTATAGAGAATATGAAGGAAAAGTATGCACTGGTTGTATATTGAAATCAATCATTACAACCCCTCTGGCTCTAAAACATTGAAGAAGAAATATCTGCAGTAGTTTGGAAGCATGAAACTCCAAGCAGAAAGTAGATTAATGTGGGTCAACTACATCTTCGGGGTGCCAAGAAAACAACCTCAACAAACAAACAACTCCAACTACCTATTATTCAGTATAACTTTAACTAGTATATTGTTATGACAGAAGTTCTCGCTCACCGCATAAACGCAAATAACCCCAAAAGATTAGTCACTAATAGGTCTACCCATGACCGCTCAAATAACCCCGATCAACTCAGCATAGAAAGTAGGACTTCACAACGCCAACGTAGTTCATACTCAACAGAAATGAAGTGGTACTTATATTCCCTTTTTTTGAGAAAGATAACAAATATTGTGCATACATTCCCTTTGTTTCATAATTCTATTGCTTTACATTGTCTGCTAATATCCTCTTTCCTGGATGTTCATAAAAATGGTGCTGAAGTCATGATGAGAAATAAGCATCACCAGAAAAGCCCTTAAAAATGATTCCACAAAGCTATGGACTTTTCAGTAATTATATTACATATCTTTCATAGTTCATTCCATCCATTCCATAAAGAACATATTTATCTCGCTCAGCAATAGATATACCTATATTTATATGGGATGCATAATAGTCAAATTATTAACTTCCATCACCTGTAAGCTGGCCATTAACAAATACACGCAACACATCGCGCATGCTATCAATTGAGACTGCTGCGCTAATATTGTTTTTCTCCCAAAAAGATATGTCATCCTCTGAAACAAAAATCCTATATTCCAAAAAGGCATCAAATAGGTATTGAATGATATCAAATATAGTTTTAAAAATTGACATGCATTGATTTAAAACAGTAAGTACATTAAACCCTAATAGTCGTCCCATCAGAGACATGAAATTCAACATAATGATTGTTTGTTATGCCACATACAACTCCGGATTAAAAAACTGAACTTTTCAAAGATAGTAATAAAAACCAATGAGAGGTCTTTTTTTTATTAATCTTTTTTTCCAAAGTCTCATTTTTTGTATATCAAAGGACCTCTACTAAGTAAAAAATTGAACTATTTGAAGATAATAGTCAACTGACTAGAAATACGACAGTTATGTTGTGCGGCACATATAACTCTTATCAAAACAATCTCATCCAGCAGTAGCTCTATTCAATAAAATAAATATACCTGGTTATATGCCATAAGTAATCAGACTGGTCTTTTGTCACATTCAAATGCTCCAATATTCCTTGGACCGTAAAATTGTTTTCACTCCAAACACCAACTGGCTCTTTTACAGTCATCCATGATTTGGTGATAAACAAATCATCATTCTTGGTAATGAATTGTTGCTGTGAAGAAATACCTGAATAAAGGGGCAAATCAAACTCTACTGTTTTGATGGAAGTTTGTGCACCAACCTGCCCAAGCATTGGAAAACGGTAGACTCAGACAAAACACTTCAGATTGGAAAATTGTTTCACATTTTCACAAGTTCAGATTCCGACGAAGAACCACGTAAAAGCTCATTGAAGTTTGAGATGAGGACAACTGTGATAACATCCTCACTTAGAGATATGCAGAATTATTTAGAGATACACAGAATTAAACTTCATTGAAGTATCTGACTGATAAAAGGAGACATGAAACCGACCACCACCTGTATAATTGTATGTTATCATATTTCCAGTACAGATCTGGAACCATTAGGCTAAAGTTGTTTATGGTTTCGCTTCAGCTCGTCATGACTGCCTGGCTGTTGAGCTCAATTTCAAGCATCAACAAAATTATTAAATCTCTCTCATTAATAATTAGTTTCAGGAATTTGTGGAGGGAACAATACATTTTCCTAAGAATTCTATTGTTATTTACGTTCACCATCAATTATGGCAGCTCCGGTAAGATTTCATAGTGGCAATGGTTATGTAGAGTATTCAGTTACAATATAGATAGCACAAGATATAATTTACATGAAAGAAGTAAAAACCCCAGAGAGTTAAAATTTATAATTCAAGTCTTTGGTACGAACCACAGAGAGCTAAACCTACAATTTAAGCATTTGGTGTGAGTGTTTCTATGTAAGAACCACAGAGAGTTACAATGCAAAATGTAAGATTTTGGTTCAAGTGTTTATATGTAAAAACCAAAGAGAATAACCTTAAAATAAAGATTATTTAAGATTGGTCATAAACTACCAGCTAACAAGTAAAGAGTAAGCTTACCGAGTCTGAAAAATAATATACAAATTAAATTTGGCTTTCACATATGCGAACAGAATAATAGCAAGTTGAGACATATACACAATTGATCCAGCTCATATTCTGTGATATATGTTGCCAGAATGTTCTTAATGTTGCAGTCATCAACATGTGCAATGTCAAATGATTCAACCATACCTTGGCAGTGTTGTACACCACGTTCCGGCAGTCTGGCAAAATACTGACTGACCATGGTGGTAGATTATACTTTTGCCCAAGGAATGTTACAGAAGCTGCTTTATGTTCATCAATGTTTGCAAGGAATGCGGAGCAACTGATTTGACTTCCATACGAAGTAATGTTCAGGCCTTCGGTGTGAGAATTCACACGGTACACGTGTGCCTGAATACATAACAGAAATTAGTTTGCAGGTAGAACTAATAAACTCCAAAAAGAGCAATAGAAAAATGATTCCAATATACATAATTGTTTCTAACACTAGTCACATGTAAGAGATATTCAACTGAGGATGGAATAGTAAATTATTTGGTAACTTCTATAGGGACTTGTGGACTTATGTCACTCTAGATGGGCAATTGTCCAAAAGGGATAAAACATTAAAGAGTAAAGGACAGTTTTAACAGACAATATAATCTCCAATTACTTATTTCATTTCAAATAGGATTCAGGAACACAAGTGCTCAAAGAAGATCCAACCTATGAAAGACACAATAAACTGAGACTACAATGAAAACGTAAACTATTAAAATCATAGACATAAAGGACTAGTTGAATTGTTATTCTTTTGCTTGCAAATGCATGCAAGTTTTGGGACACTATTGCAAATACAAGCGGTTAAGAGCTGGATCATTATATAAATAGTTATTCCCAAATGAAGAAAAAACATTTATTACATAATATTATCAAGACCAGAAAATCCTGTTGGTGAGAACACATATTAAAAGTGTGAACAAACATAACTCAAGGTTTGGCTCAAACCTCTTGTTTTGGTCCCAACTTTATATAATTCGGAGAATCAGCAGCAACAAGAGCAGGTTCGCAGAGCTTTATAGCAGCATGTAGATCCTTCAAATGTCCCCATTTTGGCTCACTCAGCAGACCTAGTTAATAAATCAGTACATTTATTGATTGGATTCAGTAATGTGACACTCATGCTAACTTTTCCATAGAAGATATCCATACGAAACTCATTAACTCGTTACAACTCGATCACAGGGACTTGGACACAAAAAGCAAGAAAATGAACCAGCCATATAATAAAGTTATCTCCGACAAAAAATAAAAAAATAAATATAACAAAGTTATCATTTAGACCCATTAACCTACCATATTCATCAATTGGAGCATCATAATCATAACTAGTAATATAAAACGGGCCCCCAGAAGTCCGCCCAAAGTTTGTTCCACCAAAATACTGCACACAAGCAGCAAGCTTGTTAAGATTTATAAGGGACATAAATAAGACATAACACATTGGAATGTTTTCTGACATTGAACAAATCAGTGAAATGAGTAATATTTTATCTTTACATATTACCTATATTTCCAAAAAAATAATAAACTGTCAAATGGAACTTTTGGCTGTTGTCCCATGGTGATACTAGTTGTTCCACATTTATCAAGCTATAGAAACCGAAACTTTGAATTTCTCTTGCCAAAATCAAAAGCACTGAGGAGAATTATGGAAACAAATTTGGCCCAAAACGAAACAGAACAATGTAGTCACATTAAAGAAATTTGTTTTTTAAAAGAAACAGCGAAGAAATGAAAATTAAAGTTTTAGCACATAATGACACCACTGAAGACATGTCAAACCAATCTATGTATGATTTTTTTTTATTTGGTGTACACCACACAATACCATACTATTTATGAACTAAATCAGCAGTGCACATATGGGTTGTCTTTGTACCATATAATAATTCTGAAAGCTTCCTCCACGTTGGTAAAAGCGTGCTACTGCAAATGCAAGATCTTCAACAGGCCTGTGAGGCAATCTTCCACCCCATGATGCATACCTCAGAAAGACATGTAAAAGATTAGACTACCATTTCAAGCAGCAAAATTTGCAAAACCACAAGTAAATCTGCAATTATCTCCCTTTAAATAAAATAAAATCTAAAATCCTAAAGCCACAAAATTTGACATAAGATTCTTTCACACTTTACTGGTTTTCTTAACTACTTATTCTTTCTTCAACCCTTAGAACATCAAAACTAGCTCAAACAATTAGGGTGGAAGAGGCTTTCAAAATTCTTGAACCCCAGAATATCTGTTTTGGAAATTATTAAAGGATTGGACAGTTGGAAAAGGGCTTACTTGTGCATGGGCGGAAGGTGATAAACTGGTAATTCATGAGGGCTGGAAGGTGGTAAACTGGAAATTCATAAGCTTTCTCTTGTTTAGCCTTGGCTGTTTCGCAAGTTTACTTGGGTTAATACTGACAATTGTATGACTCTAGTAGTAGATGGATGGTTGGTTTTCAAATACAGCTTCTCCACTACGTTTGTAGTACCTTTAGAGTTTAGTTATAGCATACTAATAGAACTTTTTTTTTCTCTCTCCAGTAAAAAATGTTAATAGGATACATAGATGTGCAGAGAGTCAGGCCGACAAATTCAAAGGGATTCAGCATACCATCCATCCCAATCTTCTGTCCACATTGTTGGTTTGTTATAGGAATTTGGCTTGTAACCATCACAATAGTAGCCATTGCATGCATCTATCTGTAAGAAAACAAAAGCTATTTATATATACATGACCGCAATGAAATGATATGTTGAAATGTTTAAACATTAGGACCTTCCCATGAAATGAACTGCATTTAATATGTCGTCCTAGCCATTGCATCCTGTTGACTTTTACTACTTGCCATTTTGCATTTTCCCGTGCAATATAATATTCATAAGAAGTGGTTCAGAAACTTAGATATGCATGCATGACAAACAGAGGCATAAGACAAGCTAAGGGCCTTACAATACTTCCTGGAGCATCAACTTGCTTGCACATGACCCATGGAACCCCAGCACCGAGACCTAAAGCCATCTCAGCAGCCCACTTAATATATTCTTTCCCTTTCTGACCAAATTGCCCTTCAATATTTCCATATTCATTTTCAATCTGATAAAAATTTCTTAGCAGCATCAGTAAACATGGCTAAGAGCACATATATCAGGGAAAATACAGCCTGTTAAAAGAACATCCTAGTAAAGACACAGAAATGGTAAGAAAATAAACACATTATTAAGGCTGAATATCTGACCACCGATGAGCTAACTTAAACAAATACTCAATCTGCAGTCATACTGCGCAACCAGAAATCAAGAAATGACATAATTAAACAACTGAAATGGTAATGGAAGCGTGTACGCAGTGTGCAAAAGTGGGAAATATTGCCTGAATTTTTTTAAAGGTACATGCATATAAGTCATGCTTATAGAATGGCCTTCAGACCAGACATATGCATGACCCCAGGTCCCCAACTGAGAATAATGCATGATATACAGAATACAATACCCACAAATTATAACAATTCTATAATTTCTATGATGCATCTTTTCACTTTCAATTCTCATGATCCAAACAGGGCCCTAAGATCTCATTTAGAAACAAGCTCAAATGGCCAATCTGTGTAATATTCCGAATCAACCAAAAAATTTGCTTACAACCTGCAGCATGATAATTGGACCACCTTGCCAAGATAATAGTTCTTCCTCTTGCATCAGATCCACCATCTTTTTAACAAACCGCTGCATCTCCTCCTGTAGAAAATCAAAGCAACGTAAAGATGTCAAAGCCACCACTTTAAACTGCAGTTTACAGACTGGCTAACTCAATTTGAAAATTTAACTGGTCAAGAAAGGCCAGTTGTAATGCTATATTTATATAAACCCCTACAACACTAGAGAAACTCAAAGAAACTTCAGCTGTAGAAAACCCAAATCGAAGAGACTAAAATTAAACAGAACACACAAAAGATACTGAAGAGAAAATTACACGCCAAAATCACTATAAAAATGCGACTTCAAAAGTTATCATGGAACGTTTTTGCTTTGTATAAAGGTAAAAAAGAAGGTTAAAAAAAAAAAAAAAATAGACCTGATGGGAAATTCAAAGCACTATGTTATCAGCTTCAAGAATATGATACCTTCCTCAAGAAGAAAAAAGTTTAGTGAGTTTACAAAAATTGTTTGCTTAACTGAAAGAGAAACTTTTAAGTGCTAAGGGTTTAATATCCCTTAAAGGGGTAGGCAGCAGCTAGTATGGTGTTACAGAAGTAAACTTATCACTGTCATTGTCACCCATGTTATCGTAAGTATGGGAAATGTACTACAAAAAGAGCAATAGGACTGCATATGAGAAAGCGGAAGGATTGCTTTTACCTCTAAGAGATTCAATGGGAAAATTCATAATTCTAAAAAACATTACATACAACTGCCCACATCAAAAAATTGGTTATCTGCTGCAACCAAATCTGTGTTACAGTATTACTCAGGAGTATGCTGTGGATTAGAATTTATATGGATGCACCTGTATATGTACAAATGATTTAACAATTAGGGGACGGAAAAAGAAATCTAGACATTTAATTCCTTGTTGCATAACGTCGCTGGATGGAGTTTTGGATACACAGGGCGGTTTGAAATATTTAAATAAAATGATTACAATAGAAAAAAAAAACCTGCAAAATTCCAAAATTTAAATATACGTGCACTTGTAGAAGCTTAGGGGCATTGAACCTTAAAAAGCGCATTGTTTGTTCGAAACTCTATTCCAGGGATGTCACGCAACCACACGGGGAAGCCACTGCAATGTAACCAGTAGAATAATAACTATTGTATGATATGCAATGCATAAATAGAGACAGAAAAACAAAGCACCATGTTAAAAGTAGGGGAACTTGTAAAAACAGAAGAAAAGAATGGTTGAGACAATGAGACCCGAAGTTCCACTCAGCGCAGACATAAGGCCCTATGCGTAGATGGAGATAGAGTCCATTGGCTCCCACTAAATTTGCAAACTTGACGATATCATATCTCCCTTCAAAGTTGTACTAAGCAATTTATCCAGAACACATATTAGTTTTCAGCAAAAAATAAATGATCTTATTTAGGCCAACCAGAAGCCAATCACCCCAAACTAGCTGTAGAAAACGTTATAGCACCTGTCCTCTCACTGGCTCATGGCCGCTCCAAAATGCATAAGTTTGGATCACATCCACCCCGCCTTCCTTGCTTTTTGCGATCAGATCAGGCCACATCTGACATCAAATCCCAAAGGCTTAAAATTTGTTCAAAACAAATAATTACACAGCACTATAGTCTGGCTCTACAGCAGCGTATTAAGATTTCCGCTCGCCAGATGCCACATTTTACAAAATTCCCATATGGTTATGCGAATGATGCAATAAACCAATAAGAAAAATTTTGTTGATTTCGTCTTTCTGTCACTTCAAAGTGACCCAAGAGCAATTAATTACTCTTAGTCAGGAAAATTCTGGAAGTTTACTTAAGGTTGTTGAATGCAGTAAGTCGCCGATCATTAGTTTTCTGTTCCAATTAATTAGTAACTAATCACAGATTAGTGAAATTATCATTACTAATTTCATCCAAAAAAATGAAATATCTTTAATCTAGAACCCTACTTCCTCACAATCATTGAAATTGTCAGTGGTGTTAAACCATTAGCATGCAGAAGCAGAGAAGCTATGGCGGAATCGAGAGAGCGTAGTACCTCAGGAGTGGCGCGGGGGTAGTGGATTCCGGCGGAGACGAGCATGCGGCGCTTGCCGTCGATGATTAGAGCTCGGTGGTCGTAGCTGACGTTGAATGGCTTGAAGTACTCGGCGGCCGCCTCCAGAGCAAATTGAACAGCCAGGCAGAGGAAGAGACATCGGAGCCCCCATGGGCTGCCTCTTTGGGCAACCATTTGCTACTCACTGCCTCCGCTGTGCTTTCTCTCTGTGCGCGGAAAAGAGATGGAGGAGAGGGAGTTGGGGAAGAAGACTGACTGTATTATCGGCGGAAGCAAAGAAGTGGCTGTACCATATTTGTCGCCTACCAAATATGTTGACACGTGTCAGCTCCAACAAAAGGGAAACAGAAAATTTCGAACCAAGTGCCAAAATATTGGGCAAACAAGGAATTGTAACGTATTTTTTATGAGAAATTTTATTTAAACACATATGATTTATTTTTATATTTAATTTACTCTCTACATCTATATTAATTTTAATTAAATCATTAATATCTCTTTAAATTCAAATTTACTACCTAAACTATCTTCACAAACTCAGTTCAATATGTAAGTTTATCTTTGCATCTATTGATAAAATATATCTTACATATTTGTCTCATGTTTAATCATTCTTTTGTTGCATATTTCGCATTGCTCGTTTTCTTCACCTAACCAACCCAAGTCTTGAGGTATTCAAAATATTTTTTTAGTTTGCAGAAATTTAACATTTTCCAATCGTACATAGTGTGATGATTTATCGTGTGAGTTTCTTTCACACCTGATACTTTGAGCAAGTTATTGTTTCAATGAGATTTTACCAAGTATAATTATCCAATTCAATTATTTGATTTTAATTCTCTCTTCGAGTGATGGCTATTCCCTCTTAACAAGAAAGATTCAGTTTTGACATATATTTACAGGGTGATCCTTGGTAAAGATGATTAGCCATATATATGGATCTTTGAAAAAACTAAAACAAGTGGTGGCAGAGAAACAAAATACCATAAAATACATCATCCACCTTTATTATCCTTGATTTCAAGCCTATTTGTAGGCAGTATAAAAATGCTACTAAAGCCTAAAAATAAAGAACTGAATCAAATAAAAAATTTAAAAAAAAAAATGATTCATCCTTTATTTGGAGAATTTAAAACTTCAAAATCATCATCCATCCGTCAAAAAGATTTATTTTTCTCTTTGACATCATCTTAGGGTTTTAACCAAAACAGAATGTAAAAGAATTATTATGTGATTGTAAGGGTGTGATTATTGAATGTGGGTTTATTGGTAAATTTTGATTTTTGTGCTTATTTCATCTTGTACTTGATAGTAATTACACAATAAGGCTAAAAAGACAATTCATAATTAAGATTTAAGTTGGGTGTAAAGTGAGGTTGTATGGGTTCAAATAAAATTTCGCATTTTTTATTTGTTTTGGATAGGAGAGGTGAATACACAAGGAAAGAAGTGAAAAAACTTGTGTGATTTCTTTCTTCTGTCCTTTGCCACAATGGAAAAAGTGGAGTGGGCTTCTTGCTCTATGTTTGGGGTCTCAAACTTACCCCTTTACATGGAAAAGTTCACCCACAAAATATATACAAACTTACACAACCATACACTAAGAGTGCTGCAGTATCTCATCCTATGCAAAAGTCTTCAATGAATCCTAAAGACTCGCATGGCATCCATTCTTACAACACTTCTCCTTGGATGCCCATGCATTATTGATTACTTGCCTAATTAAAACTTTGCTAGAAAAAAACCCAGTAGGAAAAATCCTCGTCGAAAGAAAAAGAGTACAACTTTGTTTGAATTATTAATTTAGTGTTGAGTGTGCTTTTGTTGCCTCATTAAAACCTTGCTATGAAAAACCCAATGGGAAAAATCCTAGTTGAAGGAAAAAGAGTACAACATACATGTGTTGTGGATGCTACTCCTAGTGGGTTTCTCCCCCTGATTTCGCACTTCAATCTAACTGATTAATATTGTCGGCGTAATCGAACACCATGCACTAGCTTCTAGAATGTGCATATTGGCAGAGATTTAGTGACCACGTCTACTAGATTGTCGTTCGATCAAATTTGTTTGACTTTAATACTTTAGCCTTCTAAAACTCATGCGTATTGAAAAACTTTGGAGATATATGTTTAGTATTGTCGCCCTTGATGAATCCTTCCTTCATTTGAGAAATGCACGCTGCATTGTCTTCATGAACGAAAGTTAGAGTGTTTATTTTTTAAGATAAACCACATAAATCCTGGATATGATGGATCATTGATCTTAACTAAGACATTCCTGGCTGCCTTCATGGATAGCAAGTATTTCCAAGTGAAAAGAGAACCTAGCAACTAGTGTTTGCTTCGTTGAGCGCCATGAGAATAGTTGTATTTCTATAAGTGAACACATATCTGATCTATGAGCGAGCTTTATACGGATTGGAAAGAAAACCAGTTTCTACTTATCTAGCAAGATTCTAGTCATTTGTGGGTTTCTTGGAGTAGAGTAGGCACATCTCTGCTGTCCCACGAAGATACTGTAAAGCATCTTTGACTCTCTTCCAATGTCAAATAATTAGAGTAGAGCTATATCTTACTACCAAGTTGATTCCAAAAGCTATATCTTGTCTAGTACATTGTGCTAAATCTAATAAAGCACATATTGCACTCAGATATGGTACTTCTGGACCAAGGATCATTTCATCATCTTCTTTTGGGCAAAATGGATCTTTCTTGATGTTAGGAGACTACACGACCATTGTCGTGTTGAGTGATTAAGATTTACTCATGCCAAATCGCTTTAAGACTTCTTTAATGTAAGTCGATTAATGACCAAAATTCCATTTGTACAATGCTCGATCTGCAGGTCGAGAAAATATTTTATTTTTCCAAGGTTTTTCATTTTGAATTCAATTTTCAGATATTTAGCAGTTTTGTTAAGCATACATCATAGTTTGTTAATAGCTTCAAGCAACTTAAGTCCTTACGAGACTTTCATATAGAGATCAGTATCTAATTCTCCATATAAATATGCGGTGATGACATATATAAGTCCCATATCATGTTTTTTTGAAACCACCAAACTTATTTAAGTAACATAACGTAATTGCATCCATTACTTTTTCTTTTTTTTTTTAATTTAAACAACAATGTCACTTCCACTCTAGCATTGTTATCATAGAAAAATATATTATTGTGAATATATTGAAGAAGAAAAAAAAAATAAAGATACCATAAGTTAGAGGGGGCATGAAGCTAAACCCTAACAAGAAGTAGAAAACTACTAGAAACAAGAAAACCCAGTTACCAAAAACAAGGTAAAATCTAGCCTAACAAAATGGAAAATTGGGGTGAAGAGAAAGATTATGATGATATGCAACAATAGCATAAGGAGGATAAGAGTCCCATCAATAAACCCCAAGATGGTCCACTCCAAAATTTGCCAAATAATCAGCCACATGATTCCCTTCGCAAAAAATATGTGTCACTCTTATGCACATAGAAGAGAGCAACACTCGACATTTTAACTAATGAACCCTCAAATGCTAGGGAACACGATTATGAGAAGTAGAAATGAAAAGAACAACTAAGGATGAGTCACACTCAATCCAAAGGCAAAGCCAATCCTTCTTCCAAGCTAAGTTTACCAAATGAATTACAACATGCAATTCAGCTTATAAGGAGGTAGTCACCCCTAAAGAAATAGCAAACATCCCAGGCATGAACCAAAATGATCACAAAAGATACCGCCAAAACCAGCTAATCCTGGTGATCCACGAGCTACACCATCGATACTGACCTTAACCCAATGTAGAGAAACCTTGCACAACGAGTCGTGCTTTTTATCTTGCAATCTTGTTTTACTATTACGCTTTCTTGTGAACACCCAATTGTAACCTATGGCTTTCACACCATGAGGGGGTTGGACTACTGGTCTAAAACATTTCTCATTTTCAAAGAATTTAATTCCGCCTGGATTGCATCTTTCTGTTTAGGACAATCTTGTCTCTATTTGCACTCATCAATAGAGTTTGGCTCAATATTAATGGCTAATGCAAATGAGAATATCATCGATGATTATTTGATTTCTATCCCACAATTCATTAGTACACGCATAATTTATGGAGATTTCTTTGCTTTCATGTACTTCTGCCTCTTCAGGGGTATATGTCTCATCAATGACGTTTTCTTTTTTTGGAAGTACATAAACATGAATTGGAGGTTTGTCATTCATTTCCTTTTCTGCCATGCCACCATTGCTTATCGTTTGCGCTTTAGAATTCATGTCACTAATTTCCACTACGATCACTGGGAGGATGTCCCCTCTCTCTCTCTCTCTCTCTCTCTCTCTCTCTCTCTCTACATATATATGAACTAATCCTCTGTTTGCTATTTGCTACCTACAGGGGGTTTTTTTCCTTAAATTCTTTGATTTTTTTTTATTCGTACTATTTTACCTTGTAAATAACAGAAGGGTAGTGTTCTCCACACACCATTTTTGCTTCTCACATACGCCTTTCAATTTTCAGTCTTCGGATAAAATGAATTGAAGAACATCAAATGACAAAAAACTAACAAGGGTGTGTGGAAGGTAAAAATGGGTCTGTGATAGCGCTATCCATAACAGATTACCCACTTTTTTAACAATAAATTGAATGGGACTCAACAAATTTAACAGTAATAAGTTTCATTGGCCAATTTTATGTAATGTAGAGGAAATTGGCTGAAAAACTAATTTGGGGGGAAATTGACAATGAAGTGATAGTTCAAGGGGAAATGGAAGTTTACTCGTTGTTTTCATAAGGAAATGCAAGCATTGGGGTGGCTTGCATGTAACTATATGAACTAGTATGAGGTGTATTTTATCTTAATGTCAAAATGTTTGAATGTTTGCCTCAACTCAATTTTTCAGTTTTTTTTTTTTAATCCATAATGGATGTGCTTAGTATTGTTTATGTTTATGATCGTGCCTTAAATTGTATAAGTAATTACATAAACTTAATTATTTAATTTCTTAATAGATATTTATTATAACAATAAATTTGATATCCCATCCCTGAATTTCATAATTTACATTTCATATATTGTAGTTACGATGCATTTATATTTATGGTGTTGAATTTTTTTTGAAATCTACAAGGACGTATTTGATCCTTCCATGTTTCGTCATATTTTTTGGCATGTTTGGATAGTATGAGTTGATACGAAAGCATGGGGGGGGGGAGTGGAATGTAATTTAGAGCTGTAACAAAGACTATACGAAGCTTTGAACACCT